CTATGAGTCGGTTCCAACTCGATGGCACGTGACAACAACACCACTACCAGAGCTTCTTCATCCACTGATAAGAGACATGTTTAAACATACGTTGTTATGAAATAAATCAATGCATGTATGAACTAGAACCCCAGTAGCAATACTTTTTGACTTATCCTTGAATATTTTTCTCTGTGACTCTGATACTGAACTGTTACAACTGTTTTGTTGTTGTTGGTACTCATGAAAACTTCTGAAGTTAAGAGTCATAGCTTATTCATTGAACCTTTTATTCAAGCATTTTCAAACTGACTCAATGGCACTTAACAACAGTAACAGTTATAGGAGTGGAGCATGGCAAACATGTACTTAACAATAACCTTCACTGTTTATTTGAAGCAAAAATCATTTTAGCTAGGATAGTCAGAGCTGTGTCATCATGGTGGTGTCATGGTTATGCACCTCCTTGGTAAGCTTTAAGCCAATGGAGAGATCAAATGAAAAAGGCTTTCATCTTACTAGAAGTGATTAGAATACTTTGGAATGAGTCCATACTGGACAGAATGGATCCCCCAAATTGTCAGGTAGGAAAATTACACACAAAAAACAAGAATGAAACTAGTCTTTTCTATTTAGAAAATGATGAAAAAGATGAAATCCTATCATAGTAGATGGATGATTGAATTAAAGTGAAGCAAGTAACAGCTTTTTTAGTATCTTTGGTTAATGGTTGTTTGTATAAATAAGTTAGCATTGTTGTTGTTGTTACAGTCCTGTATAGCATTTCTGAAGAGGGGCTGATAAGTTCAAACTGCCAACCTTGAGGTTCAAACTGACCTTTATAAATAATATAATTAGATATATTCTTTAGTTCCTAATGTGTAGCATGGATTACTAATTTATTAAGAATGAGAATACAGTAGAATAATTGACTTTCAATTTACTACTAAATGCTACAGTCCGAATGTGCTGGTTCTAAATATGTATTTCTTGAAAAATTAAATACTAATGATTTTGATATAAGCTAGTACCCGAATAATTAAAATTCTGAAATTTAAACGTGAAAAATTTTCAAAGGGAACATTCATTTCATAGAAGTCTTTTTAAAAGAGAAATTGCAAACTGTTGCAATTTGGTTAAATGGCCCTTCTGTTTTCAGCTCAAGAGCTAAGAATGTTAACATTTTTAAAAGGCTGTTATAATATATATATATATACACGTATATGTACAACAGAGATCATATTGCCTGCAAATCCTACAATAAGTACTGTATGGCCTTTTGCAGAAACAGTTTGCCAGTTCCTGCTTTAAGTAATAAACTCATGATATTTTTTAAAAAGTTATGTTTAAAGGCTTGATATGTAAAAATTTTCAGAAAACTATGCATGTTTTATAGGGGCTGGTGACCGCAGGGTGTGTGACAGGAAGAATACTATAATAATTCACAGATTCAGTTGCCTTAATCAAATTCCACCTTATAAGTTTAGGCTTTATGTTCTGTTACGTTTTCCTTGTCCACATACAAATCCAAATAGTCACTGTGTCTATCGCATTCCATTTTTAGCATTGATTTTGGTCTTTACTTCTTTAGATGGTAACTTTTCAGACTTCACTCCTGAAATTAGAGCCTCCTGACCATGGCCGTTTGGTGGTGCTGGATTTTGTATCTTCTCTAGGGAAACTTTTTATACCTCAAGCTATCCAGGTATGGTATGCTTAACTGTTGATTTATACTCAAAACCTCTGTAAGAATTAATGATTCAGGAATTTTTAGGCTTTAACTTTGTGAAATTCTGTGGATTGCTTACAATGAAAGAGGGGGCAGAAGAAATCTAGTTTCCAAAGAGGGAATGACTTTGTCAGAGTTGAACTAATTATAAACTGTTGTCTTTTAGAAAAATACATGTTGACATACAAATAATGTTATGAGGGGATTTCAAAAAGCCTAGAAAAATGGGATCAAAAGATAACAGTATTTTTCCACAAACTTTTTGAAGCCCCCTTGAATGAGGTTGGCCATAGTCTAATAGATGAGTCAGTCTCTCATTCTAGTTCAGCTCTTGGACACAAAGTGAGGAAAGCATACTGTGTCTTCTAGGGACCCATGTATAATTAGGAGATAAGCTATTTTCTTGGTTTGTATCCCATGAAAGGGAGCTTTTTTTGTGCTTTTTAAAAGACAATACTTAAAATGATGCAAAGTCTATGTAAGTGACAAATGGATATTTCTATGTAAGAGTTTTTGGGAAAGCGCTTCCTGTGAGGAAGAAAAGCGACACTGCTCTCATGGAAGAGGTTAACACACTTATACTGAATTTGAACGTTCAGTTCATTTTTTTAAATTGAGAGCTTTGCCTTTACAATAGTCAACAATTTTAGATTGTTGACATTTATTTTTATTATTTTTTAACCTCTATGAGAGAGACTCCACCACATGTCTGTCAGTTTGTCGTACTGTGGTGGCTTACATTCATTGTCAAAAAGAGCATATCCAGATCAGTCATGAAGTACAATGCTGTCTGTGATAGGATAATATTCATGCACCAAAAGGGAAGCCCAGTTAATACCACTATTATCCAAATTTATGCACCAACCACTAAAGCCAGTGAGGATGAAATAGAAGGATTCTACTAACTTCTTCAATCTGAAATTGATCAAACATGCAATCAAGATGTATTGATCATTACCGGTGATTGGAATGCAAAGGTTGGGAGCAAACAGAAAGCATCAGTAGTTAGAAAATACGGCCTTGGCGATAGAACTGATGCTGGAGATCACATGATAGAATACTGTAAAATTGATGATTTGTTAATTTCAAATACCTTCTTTAGACAGCATAAGAGACAACTATACATATGGACCTTGCCAGATGGAATACATAGAAATCAAATTGATTGCATCTGTGAAAAGAGATTATGAAAAGGCTCCATATCAGTCAAAACTAGGGGCAGACTGGGACAGACTATCAATTACTCGTATGCAAATTCAAACTGAAGCTGAAGAAAATGAAAGTCGGTCCACAGGAGCCAAAATATGACCTTGAATATATCCCACCTGAATTTAGAGATGGATCATTTGAAGAACAGATTTGATACATTAAACACTAAAGACCAAAGACCAGAAGAGTTGTGGGATGACATCAAGAATATCATACAGAAAGCAAAAAGTCATTAAGACAAGAAAGAAGGAAAAGGTCAAAATGGATGTCAGAAGAGACACTAAAACTTGATTTCCAACACAGAGATACTAAAGTATATGGAAGAAATGAGGAGGTCTAAGAGCTAAACAGAAAATTTCAAAGATCATCTCAAGAAGATAAAGCCAAATATTACAACAAAATGTGTAACAATCTGGAGTCAGAAAACCAAAAAGGAAGAATATGCTCAGCATTTCTCAAGCTAGGGGAACTGAAGAAAAAATTCAAGCCTCGAGTTTCATTATTGAAAGATTCTCTGGGAAAATTATTGAATGATGCAGAAAGTATCAAAAGAAGATGGAAGGAATACACTGTACCAAATGGAAATGGTTGATGTTTAACCATTTCAAGAGGTAGCATATGATCCAAGAGCCAGTGATACTGAAGGA